AGGAAGTTTGCACTGAGGAGTTTGCACTCTCCTCCCCCCAGCAGAGTACAGCATCACAGCCCAGGCTGAGCACATTTGTAAGAGCCCCCGGTTTGACTGGAAAGGTCAATGTGTGAGCAACAAGAAGAGACATTGAGCACCGGTGCTGCTGAAACACACGCTCTTGTACATTGCCTGTCTTTAATTCTCCATAACTCTGTGAGCCACGTGGTAGCCTCGTTTTTTGGATCAAGACATCTGGAAGAATCCAATTCCTAGCCCTGGGTGAGTCCCAGAGTGAGTTGTGGGGCACAGTCCATAGTCTCCTTGTCATTGTGCCTGCACCTTCTTATAGCCTGTCACCTCCCCACATGTGAAGAGCACAAACGAGTGGCACAAGGGCTGTCAAACTAGCCACTTGGTTTATGAGCAAGTGAAAAATGAAGTTTAAAAAAAATGCACAAAAGCCAAGACGTGGAAACAAGCCAAGTGCCCGTGGACAGATGGAGGGATAAACCAAATGTGCAGACAGCACAGAACAAATGTTACTCATCCTTAGAAAGAGGCAAGTTCTGACGCCGGCATCAACGTGAGGCTTGAGGATGCTGTATTGAGTGAGACGAGCCAGTCCCAAGAAGACAATACTGTAAGATCCCACTTATATGAGATACCCCATCAAACTCACAGAAACAAAAGAGAGCAGTGGGCAGCAGGCTTGGGGAGAGCGGGAAATGGGGATTATATGACGGCAGTTTTGGTTCTGCAAGATGAAATGTTTCAAGGTTGTGTGCACGATTGTGTAAATATACTCAATGCCACCAAACTGTATACTGAGAAACGGTTCCACGGAAAATTTTGTTGTATGTCTTTTGCCACAGAGGGAAATAAATAAAAACAACACCAGTGTCTAGACAACCAGGGACCAGGCTGTTCTCCCCACTTGTGAACCCCGTGGACTCGGGTTGAGGCATGGCATCTACCGCCGCACACACCATGTGAGGGCCTATCCTTTCCCCAATGCGGGACAGGCTCTGCCATGGACCCATGCTCTTATCAAGTCCAAAATCCACAGGTAGCCCCGGAATCACCTCCTCCACATCGTGAATCACTATCATGTGAGCCACAGTATCCTCTTGGATTCAGACTTAAAATGCCTCCTAAGGATATGTTTTTAATGATTCAGATTACCTTCTGATTTATGATCATAAACAGGATGACTAGTTTTGGATTAATTGAGGGAAAGATGCATTCACATAGTAAAAGCTAATGTGAAAGTAATTAGTTTATTGAGGTACCAACCAGTGTGTTGTTGACAAGTGAGGATTGTGGTTTACGTTAGTGATAGTTAAGGAGGAATTATTTAGGGGCACCCCCGGCTGGCTCAGTGGGCAGGATACCCACCCGGATCTCCATGCTGGGCATGGAGATTACTTTAAAAAACAAAATCTTAAAAAAAAAAGAAAAAGATATATTTATATTCATTTTTAATTGTTTTAAATGGCATATGTGCAAGTGAAACATTCTGCTTAAAATCCTTTCGTGGTTTTTTTTTTTTTTTTTTTTTTTTTTTCTGATGGAGGATGTCAGGGCTTTGGAAAGACTCACATAACAACCTCCTCTAAGCCAGCTTTGCCTTGGCTGTCTTGTGCCCCGCTTTGTTTAACCTGTGGTCCCCACCTACTTCTCATACTTCTCCATCAATATTCTTGATAGCACAGTGTGGCTGTGCTATTCCAAAACAGGGACTTATAAATGTTTAATGAAAAGCTTTCTTCAATTGTAAAAGCATGCATGCTCATATGAAAAAATGTTTACTGTGCATAAAAGAAAAAAGTTGAGTATCTATCTAGTTTTTGGTGATTCCCTAATGCTCTTAGAACATCACAAAAGTTGCTCAATAGAGTGTGTGTACAAGGCTGCCCGCTGCCCCCCAGCTGCAGCCCTGGGCAAGCCCCTCATGTGCAACTCCCACTGGACTTGTCTGCCTGAACTCCTAGGCAGACTGGCCACAGGCTCCTGGAGACAGTGTTTGCTCACAAACTGTGGTGGACGGTTAGCATCCTAAGGAACAGGCTGGTCCCTCTGTCCCCCAGCCAGCACTGAGAGTCTCACTGTCCAAAGAGAACCACCATGGGATCCCTGGGTGGCACAGCAGTTTGGCGCCTGCCTTTGGCCCAGGGCACGATCCTGGAGACCCGGTATCGAGTCCCACGTCGGGCTCCCGGTGCATGGAGCCTGCTTCTCCCTCTGCCTGTGTCTCTGCCTCTCTCTCTCTCTGTGTGTGACTATCATAAATAAAAAAATAAAAATAAATAATAATAAAAAAAAGAGAACCACCATATAGTGTGGTGACCAGAGAGAGTAGGTATAAGGTTTCCATAAAGCACAATTGGAGCATTTCGAGGAAGTTCACCAAAGTGTCTAGCAAGGAAACAGCAGGAGAAAACCAAACCATTCACTCAAGTTCAGAGGTGAGAGCTGGTACAGAGGGGGAGGGAGAGTGGTTAGATTTGGTTTCTGATCAAGGGTCATTTCGAGGAAGGAACTGGCTGCTGCCCCTCCCCTCTACACCTCATCCTTTGGGGTTTGGCTGCCTTTGGAGGCTCCTGACTCCCACAGGCTTGGCTTCCCGTCCCTGCTCACATGACAGGTGTTGACAAACCAAACGGGGAACCCAGGTCTATCCACCCCCGTGGAGGTGAGTGGGCCAGGCCCCCGACCACGAGGGATTGGGAAAAGAACCATCCAGGTGGTCAGCAGTGCCTGTGGGCCTGAGGCACATGGTAAGGACAGAGCACGTGCCCCACGTGATCTTGGAGTCGAGTAGACCAGGTTTACGGTCCAGGTGACCCCCTTAACCAACTCAGAGTCCTTAGACTGACCACTGCCTCAAGCTCAACCTCATCCGTGAGCTGGCAAGAACACTTACCTTGTAGCGTCATTAGGATGACAAAGAATATACAGTTTGTGAGCACATGGTGGAGCGTCCACAGGCTGCAGCTATTACCAACAGCTCATTTTAACATACTCTTTCTACCAAAAAGGGGCTGTGGCCTTCAAGTGACCAGTAGGGCTGGTGGTGTATTCTTTGCTGTCCAGTTTGTTTCCTAGTTCATACCACACATGGTTGCAGGATCCTGCCTGCAGCCTAGTGGTCTCCAGCACAGAGACTAACACTGGTTGTGCTGTGGGGGGACCTGGGAGTGCCCACTCAGGCCACAGACACCCTGAGCCAGAGACCTGGGGCTGGAGTCCAAGCTGTTCCTGACCCTCAGACCTGCCCACGGAAATGATCTGCAAAGGACGCCATACATCCTCAGGTGTGGAGCTCCCACAGCACCCACATCATCCTAGAAATGGCCACGGTTCATAGTCACCCCTGGGCTCCATGACCATCTTCCTCGGAGCCATCTGGGAGGCTTGCTTGCTTTCTATGCCCACATCAGACCCGCTGAACAGGGGTCCCTGTGGATGCCCACAGGACGCTGGCACAGATCTGCACCCTGCAGGGCAGGCAAGTGGCTCTACAAGCGGGTGTCTGCCCCTCATCTCTCACTGGGCACAGACTCCAAGATGTCACACTTACAACATCCAGCATTCCAAAATCCCTATTGCACAGCACATCAGCTTAGCAACCAAAATAGAACGCAGTTGTCTTCTCAATGAATTCTATTCTGCAGAACCATAGTGAAGCTTCCATTATGCGCAGTGAGATTTGTGAACGCTGGCATCTCTATTAAGCAATCTGAAGTTCTCCTAGAAGAATGTCCTTAATTAAACAGTACATCTGTAGCACGAATGTTTAATGACTTTACTGAAAAACTTATTTTACTCGTTTTGAATCCTCACCTAAACGACTGGTGTGAAATAAGACACGGCTAAGGTGTTTGTGTGCTGAGTGACACACACTTGCAGTAGGCAGGGACTTCCATGAGGACACTGGGGCAGGTCAGCACCCGGAGACAGCACAGGGTTAGGTCATCGGTCATCACCATGCCAGCACAGGCAGCATGTGCAGGGGAGGCGCCCTAACGCCCTAGCCTGGCCTTTGCACAGCCCAGCTGCGGCCGGAAGCCGGAGGCCTCCAGCAGCAAGCGGTGGGTCTCCTGCCCCTGGCCCGGGCATCTCTCGGGTGTGGACAGTCCTGGACGGAGGAGAGTTCTCTCCTCAGCGTCTGTTCCCATAGCTGGTGGCCCTTTGCCACCTCCAGGAATCACTCACCCACAGCACCCCCCAGTTGTGGTGGAAGGAGCCTCAGGACCATGTCACCCTGATGATGACACTGGAGAGAGATGCACCTCCTTCTGTTTCCACCCCGCTCCCACACTGGCACGACCCACAGCGGCCACCCGGGGGGGACATCTGCTTCCTGCCACACTTCAGGCTGAACGGAGGCCAACCTCAAGGAGATGTGGCCCGCAACTCATCCTGGGCCTCGGACTTCCAGCCCAACTCACATCAGTCCTCGGCTGCCCAGCCCAGAGCCGTTGGCATGACACCCCTGGTCCATGGAGCACCCACATGATGACTCTCCTCTGTTTGGAAGATGTGGAGTGGCCATGCCCTGGGTCTTTCCTGCCAAAGACCCTTTTCCAGAGGGGACAGGTTCGGCTGATGATCGGGAGGGTAGGGTTGCCTTTGTGACACCATTCACACGCCCCCCACCCCCATTCAACAAATAGTCTTTTGACTGCCCTCCCTTCCTCCCTGACACGCCCATCGCAGGGCCACAATGGTAAACATGGCAGCAGTATCCACGCCCTTCCAGAAACCCCACGATTCATTTTGGTAAACATTTTTATAATTCAAGTCTTTCGAGAAATTGCTCATTTCTTGAACCTATCTCTTTTTAGAGGTAGCTCAATCCTGCCGGGGGCGGCGGGGGGGGGGGGGCTCCCCACGTGGTCCTGAGCTTGATGCTGTGTTTCTCCAACCCTTCCCTCTCTAAGCAGGCAAGTCTTTCCCCTAAACAACCCAGGGCCCCAAACCATAATTACATCTCAAGCATATTTTTAGAAATTCTTTATTTCAAACATGTACAATTTTCACTTTGAATGCAAAATAGCTGATAAAAAGAGAAAAATATTGAAAAACATTATACTGACCCTTTGCCCCATATACAGACATCAGCCTTTGGTATTTGCTTTCAGGTAGTTAGGTAAAAAAATTTTAAAAAATTAAAACTATTATTTTTCTTTTAAAAAAAAGGTAAAGTTGAGGTATTATATTTAACAGATGTGTGATCCCCATCCAAACAGTTTCCCTGCTAATTAACAGCCTTGCTAACGTGCTGTTCCAATCTTCTTCCTAAAGCAGACATTCATTTGAGCATATGTTCATAAAACTGGCAGCATTCCTTAATAATCAGTAAGGTTGTCATAGAAACTCCCTGGCACTGCCCCCAGGCCACCCCAAGGACACAACGCTAGCAGAACCTGCAGAGGATGCACAGGGGTGTCTGGCACAGAGCCTGAGCCAGCTGGCCTGCCTTCCAGCAATAGCCCCACTGCCAACTGCCGCATGGGAGAGCTGGCATGACCTCGGAAGGGCCACCCATTGCCCCTGCTTCTCCAAATGAAGGCACGTTTCTCACCAACTCTACCTGAAACTGGATGTCAGACTCTTCCCCAAGTGGGTCAACCTTCAGTACCTTTGATGAGGTGATATAGCTCAGCTGGGCAAGACATTCCTAAACATTCTGCAGGAAACCCACAAACATACCATGACCACGTCAAGCCTACCCCACACGGCTCTTCTCACCAGCGGGAGGCTCCCAACATGGTTCCAGTGGCAGCTGCCACACCTCATCACGGTATCCTGCCCCTGGGATAGCAGGGGACTGGCAGAGGTTCTGTGAGCCCAGAGCCTGGCACACAGACCTCGAGGTCAAGACCTCGTCAGAGCAAAGAGCTCTCAGAGTTACCAAAGACTTTGTAGGTCTATTCAATGCTACCCACTTGAAGTTTCAGAAACATTTCCATTAATGCTACAAGAATTACTGACCACATTAATTGAGACCTTGACCCAGCATATTTTCAACTTTTCTCACCCAGCAAGAAGAGCTGTCATCTCAGGTCTGGCTGTGGTACAGGGGTCAGGTGAGTAACACCCCTCTCGAGGGAAACAGGTGCCCTGTAGGACATGGGGGAGGTCGGTTGAGGCATGCTCACTGACTGAGGGTTTCAGATTCCAGCGCAAAGCCCAGCAGGTGCACACTTCAGCACACTGAGCATGACTTACAATCCAGAGAAAAATACTTTTCCTTCATTTTCACTAGCTTATAAAGAAATAAAGGGAAAACACCCTCTCCAATACTTAAAAAAAAAAAAAGGCAGTTTCATTACAATAATAATGAAAGTAACAACAGGAGATCAGAGCAGCGCCTGCGCTATCTGTTTCATCTTCCGCCACCCCTGGGGCCTGGCTCTGGTGGCACTCTTGGAAAAGAGGAGGCTTCTCATGCACAGTCTCATTTGTGTATTTCCCTTTAACACCATTTTTGCTGTTCTCAAACTTTAGAGAAAAACAACAACAACAAACACCTGCCTCACTTCTGGCAGCATCAGGACCCAAAGTCACACACAGAACGGCCCGGCCGTGGCGCCAGAGCACACAACCAATGGGACCCAGCAAATAGTCAATTAAGCATGGCTCTCCTCCTCCTGTCGCCACCTGTCGCCACCTGTGTGCCACTGGGCTTGTTTCTCCAAAAAGGCTACTAGAAAAGTCTGTGGTCTGGTGACTTCTTGGGTGGTCACAAGGCTGACTTTAGTCACCGCTTCACTCTGGGACATCCTGTGCGGTGACCACACACATCCCTGAAATGGCAAGGCCACACTCACAAGTGTGAGTAGCCACCCCACCACAGCAACACACATGGTGACATACTCGGTCAGTGCCCTAATCCTAGCCAACCTGAAGCAAATTGAGGAGTCACGTAAGAGGATAACCCCAAGGGAGAGGATGGTGTGACAAGGCCTTGGACAACCTGGGGCTCAGGGGTGGACGCTGGATGCCGTGTTCTCCACAGCTGCCAGGACGGGAACAGCGTGCCCCCAGGTTACAGAAGACACACACTATGTTTTCATGTTTCACTATGTTTTTTAAGACAAAAACAAGATGTAGAATGAAACCAGACTCTCTGCTTTAAAAGGAAAACTGTTTTCTCCCTTTTCACTTGACTGTTTTGTGCTAAAAAGGTTACTAAGGTTTTCCCCCAAGTTATTCATACATTGACAGTGAGCACAGGCTCTCCCACTCTCTCAACATAAAACAACAGGTGTTTCTTTCTTTCTTTCTTTCTTTCTTTCTTTCTTTCTTTCTTTCTTTCTTTTTTTTTTTTTTTAAGCAAGTTAAAATGCATTCTTGCCAGGATCTTTTTGTCTTTTCACATTAACATCATCTTCCCTTGTTTCTTCGGCTCAACTGAAAACAAAGTCGTGGCAGCAGGAGTACAGCAGCCGCAGCCCTGGACCCCCAAGGCAGAAGCCCCCTGCAGCCAGCTCTCCTCCCTGGGAACAGGGAGGCCTGTCCCCATGACCCTCTTCCTCTTGGTCCCTCCTCCTGAAGTCCTGGGATCCGAAGAGGGGAAGTAGACTAGTGCACCTGCTTCCGGATTCAGCAAGTGCCTGGGTTACCATTCACATTCAGCAAAATGCTAATGAGGAACTAATCACAACTGCATGCCAAACCCGCAGGCCCTGAGATTCTCTGCGATACCTCTGTGCTGATTCCAGGTGTGGGGAAGAAGGCAGGTGCTTCTCCCATCCTCAGACCTGGAAAGACTGAATCGTGAAAGCAGAGGCTCCACAGACAAGCTGGGAGGTGAGGCTGTGCTGGGAGCTGCCAGGGGCGTCTCAGCAGGATACCTGCCACCTGCTGTAGGCTGCAGCTTGTGCCTCCGCAACCACCGGGCTCTGCCCGCCTGAGTGTCCTGCCCCCTCTGGGCACCGGCATGGACTCCAGCCCCTTTGGGCACTTGGGAAAGAAGGGTTCTAAGACTCAATCACCTCTTCCTTCTGAACAGAGGCAGCAAGCAAACCTGTTTCAAGAAGTGAAGCACCTTGCACGAGGCCCTCCTGCACAGGCAGAGCTCCAGGCCCCACGCCCCTGAGATGAGTTGGTTTGTGCTTCATTGTTCACACAGCTCAGCAGGTCTGGCATCCTGCTGGCCAGGCGCCACCCAGCCAGCTATCTGGGGAAGAAGTAGTCTGTATTGCTGATGTCGTAGGGGCTCTGTGGGCCCCTGGTATCCGGGTGGCTGTGCCTCGAGGTGTTGTCAGACCCAAGGCTGCTGGGGGACACTGGTGGGGAGATGAGGGGCACACGAACCGGGGTGGGCTTGGGCCTCTCAGGGACCAGCTGTCCCAGAGAATACGGTGGGTGCACACTGGCCTTGCCTTCCTTCAGGGCATGCAGCTTCCACGTCTTCTTGAACCTTCACAGGGACACACAAACACAAATCATACGCATGTTTAGTTCTCCCATGACAGACCTGCTCTGGTGGCCTGGCACTCCCGCTTTTGGCTCAAGAGTTACAACAATTTATTCCGTCACTGGGAGGTTGGTTACACAATACCCTGAGGAACCAGAGGTATCATGGTCCGACTTAGAGATGGGGAAACTGAGGCTCGCGTGGCCATAAGTGTCCATCTATAGCCCTGGGGACTTGGTCGGTCCTATACCAGAGGCTGCCCAGCCACAGGCCCACAGGCCCACAGGCCCACATCACTGACCCCAAATCCATTCGCTTAAAAAAGAGCACATATTCTTTTAGCGCGGAAGGAACTCAGGCCTCTCAGCTGGGCTGAGGTGGGCAGGGCACAGCAGCAGCAGGAAGGGCTGCCCCCCCCTTCCCAGTCCCCCAGCACTCGGCCCACTCCTGCCACCCCCGCGTGGGCACCCCTGGGGCACGAGTGAGTCATCTGGCAGGAAAGTGGATGTGACACAGGAAGGAGATAAACATCTCTCTGATCACAGCTTCCTTGCCCCTCTCGGCTCTGAGCCCTCAGCCAGGGCTCAGGAACCAAGACAAGTCACTCTGCCGACCAGAGAACCATTAGCTGGCGACAGTCATCTCCTGAGATGTGTCAGGCCCGTGCTGGGGAAGCACCCCTCGCCCTGCCTCCCACTGTCACCACCAACTCCCACGCGGGCCCAGACGCTCCCCCAGTCCCTTCTCCAGGAAGGGCTTGGAGGCAGGAGGGAAGCCAAGGCCAAAAACAAGTTTTGGGGGTTTTCCTTGGGTTTCTTTTTATATCAACAGGCTATTCCTGTGGTGCTGACGATAAATCATTGATAGTTGGCTCCCAGCCCATTATCCAAATGGAATAAACAACGTGCAGAATGGGGCCGAGGGCTCCCCACCTGGCAGAGAGTACAGCAGGGGCGCTTCCTACAGCTCCGCTGGGCAGGGTCCTGGGGGTTATCACCCTCCCTCGGGACCCCAGTATAGACTGAGGGCAGGGGGCACTCTCAGACCCTCTGGCCCAGGAATCCACTTCTGGGAACAGAGCCTAAGGAAGTTCCAGAGCTGCGGGAAAAGCTTTATGCACAAAGATGTTTAGCACAGAGTTGTCTGTGAGAGCGAAACCACCACCAATAGGAGGTTGGCTGAGAGGCCTGGGTACATCCGCTTAACGGCGCCTGCAGCTAAGGTGAGGGTTACAAAGAAATGAGATAATGCGAAAAAAAATGCTTATGTTATAACTGACACTAAATTTAAAAGGCAGGACTGAGAGTTCTAGATGCAAAATAATCACAGCTACATAAAAACAAGACACTGGGCCAAGGAAAGAGCCTCAGGAAACTCACCTGAACCTAAAAAATTCTTCATCTGGATTCAAACTGCAAGGATGTGTTCACTTCGTGCAAGCTTGGGGATGTGTGTACTTTTCTGTGTGTTTGCAAGACTCTGATCACATTTGCATGTTAAAAATTAACAGTCTTTGGATAATGCTTGATGTTTTTCTTTTATTTGTCACTATTTTTAAAAAGATTTTATTTATTTATTCATGAGAGACACAGAGAGAGAGGCAGAGACATAGGCAGAGGGTAAAGCAGGCTCCCTGCAGAGAACCCGATGTGGGACTCGATCCCAGAACCCCAGGATCATGACCTGACCCAAAGGCAGACACTCAACCACTGAGCCCCCCGGGTGCCCCTATTTGTCACTATTTATCAGATCAGCATATACCACAATGAAGTCTCTGTTGACATTAGCTAACCCACAGGGAAAGCAGTGTCTGACCTCTTTTTTTCCAAAGCAAGTAACTGGATGTATAACTGAGAAAAATGAGCTTTGCTTCTTCTGAAATAGTTTGAGTGAATAAGATGATTTTGAAAAATCACTAAGGTCAGGGGCACCTGGGTGGCTTAGTCGGTGAAGCTTCTGCCTTCAGCTCAGGTCGTGATCTCAGGGTCCTGGGGTCAAGCCCTGTGTCAGGCTCGCTGCTTGTCCAAGAGTCTGCTTCTCCGTCTCCCTTTCCCTCTCCCCCTGGTCATGTTCTATCTCAAATAAATAAATAAAATCTTAAAAAAAATAAAAATCACTAAGCTCAAAGGGACTTTGGTAGCAGCCAGCCTGGGGGTGTCCACAGCTGGCTCTGCTCTGGCCTGAGAAGGGGACTGGTGGGCCAGGGACGAGGGAGGGCGGGACCCTGCTGCCAGACTTCACACCTCAGCCCCTTCCTCTATCTTACATATTGCACTTCACAATGTTTTGCTTAAAGAAAACATTCTGCAGCCAAAACAAAATTTTAAAAACATAACAACCATCACTTCTAAACAAGTCACAGGTAGAAACCAAGACCTAGTGAGAAGTGACATAGAGAGCTGCCCATTCACAGCCACATCTGCGGCACCAGGAGCAGCCTGTGCCTCCACCCTAGAGGTGGGGGCGTAGCTGGTTTTCAAATACTAGAATGAGGCACATAGTTAATTCACAGTGATTTAAACAGGCACGCCCGCAGGAAGTCCTCACTAAAGTGCAGGTCCATTCCAGATAAATACACAGAAAAGCAATTCTCAGCTTTGAAGACCCTATTTCTCAGTGCCTCACAGCATAAACCACAGAAAGGGCCCTGGCGGGGCACAGGGCGTGGTGCAGGAGAACTACACCCCCACCTGGAGTCACAACACCTGCTTCAGAAGATGCCACACCTGTTTTCAGACACATATAAGTGTCTTTTAATTATCACTAGTAATTGTGGGAAAATACTTAGGAAATACTATGCTTTGCTTGAGATACAAAATAAACGTATTACATAGATAAAATGGACTGGCAGGATGTCATATCCTGCGTGTTGCAGTGTGGCCATTCCAGTGGTCACTGAGGCTCTTCCGAATTCCCAGTTTCCCCAGGTTTATATACCTTTCGACATGTGGGCTTTGGGGAGGAGAGGGGTTTTTCACCACTTGAAATAACTGGCCTATTTGCAAATAAATGTGCCTTACATGAGAGAAAATGGGAAGCCACCAGGCTAGCAAACAAATCACTGAACACTGTCAACACGCGGCACTTGCCCCATCTGTGCCTCCAGGGGCTCTGGTTGTGTAGCAACCGGCTGGTGTCCAAGCACCATCAGCAGATTAGCAAACAAATGTTTATGAAAAACAGGGTCAGTTCCCAACCTAAAGCTTCTCTTTCGATGGTTCAGAGCACACCAAGATGGCGCTGCTTGTTAAGGAAGCCACTGGCCAACACAGGATGGAAGGGACTAGCTGGGCACCCCTCTTAGCTGACGGCCATTAGTCTGGTGGGCAGGGACTCTTGGGACATGGGTTCTAGTCCTGGCTCCACTAGTAATAAGCTTGTGTCCTTGGGCGAGTCATCTCACCTCTCAAAGCTTTTCCTCATTTGTCAAATTAAAGAATTGGACTACCTGACCTGTAAGGCCCTATCCAAAGAGCATGAGCTTTGGGCTGGGGTCTTGGCTTTCTCGGCACCAGCTGTCATGACCTCGGCTCTTCCAGCTCCCATCTCCTCATCTGCCAAGTGGAAACCCTGACAGGGGTTTTCTATAGGGTCTATGGTGGCTTATAAGAAAGGTCCTTGGAAGCCCAGGCAAGAAAGAGAAACAACATAGAAGTAGGTGCTGGAAGGGGTACCACGAATCCCTCCGAAGGCAGGAGGAAGACCCCAGAATGCCAGCACAGCCCCCCTCTGGTCCAGAGGTGTACAAGACTGCAAGCACTCAGCCCCTCCAAGGACCAACCTCCACACACTTGGAGGCTTATCTTCTGTACACCCTCAGACAGCTTGCTCACCACTACACTGGGACAGCAGAAGTGGACACAACCCTGGACACAGTTTGAGATGTCACCTTGCCAATCTTCCAACCCAGATTACTTGAGTGGCAAAGCTGTGGCTCAGAGTCTCCATGGGGATCCCATGTATGTGGAAATCTAACCCTCCCTCCCCAGACACCCCACAACCTCCCCTCACAGTCACTGGTGAGAACCCCTGAAAGCCATGCATGAGGCAAGAGAAGGAGGGACAAGTCTGAAGTTCCTCCTGCGCTCGGGCAGTTGTAGCTGTGAGCTGCCATCTGAGCCAAGACCCAACCTAACCTCCCCAGATCTTCAGCATGTGCAAAATTGCTCGTTCCTGTGCTCCAATCATGAACTCTGGAAGGTTTCTTACTGCTCACATAGGAGGAATACTGTTGGCTGACTCTGCAAGCTCGGGAATAGTGACCAAACCAATGGTGCCCAGCTGGAGAGATGGAGACGTGGGCACAGCACCAATGCAGCCCAAGTGTCTCTCCACCTTCAGCAGGACTGAGCACTGACAGGGCCCCTCTAGATCAGCTGGTTTTGAGATACAGAATATTCCCAGGGGGTCTGGCCAGGCACTCAGACTTGCCAGGCACTCAGACTTTCATGGTGCTTCTCATGTGGCCCTGCCACCACTCTGGTCTATGACTTTTGGAGGATAGGTGAGGTCCTATCACCTACAGTCCCTCAAGCCTAAGGAGCTCCCTCCATATGGGACACACGCCCTCCCCCTCTAGGTCTGTCAAGCAGGCTTTCTGGCCCCTCTGGGTCTGCACAATTTTTCAACATCCGAATTCCAGGGGGCCCATCACAGCATCCTCCCCACCCCACCTCCCACACTGGCAGGGATCAGAATTGTCTACAAACACATCTGCCTGCGGTTTTCACAGGCACCTTGACCTCCATGGTCCCAAACTAGAATCACTGCCCTACCTGGTGGTCTCCCCTGCACCCAGCATCTCCGAGATAGTAACAACACTGTCATCTATACAATTGCCGAGGCCAGAGTCTTGAGGGTCACCCTGGACATTCCCCCATCTTTCCTTCTCCTCATCTAATCCGTCATCCAATCTTGTCAGTTCCTCCTCTAAAACAGAATCCAAATCAGGTCACACCAGCCAGATAAGGGGCAGGAGGCCACCCCTGGCCACCGCCAGGACCTCACTTACCTGAGGACAATGCCGACGCACAGGAGTGTCCCGAAGGCCAGGCTTCCTCCGGCCACCAGGAAGGTGGGCAGCGGTGCTGAAGAAGAATCTTGCACTAGAAGAAAGAAGACAAGGAGGAGGAGAAGGAGCAGAAGGAAGAGGAAGAGAAAACCACTCAGCTGCCTCAAAGGAATGTCAGCCCTAGAGGAGGAATTGGCTCTGTGGATCAACAGGCCATGGGAGGAGCTGGCCCCCCGCAAATCTGACCTCAGGCTCCCACCACATGACAGGAGAGACACCTGAAGCTCAGAGCCACTTGTCAAAGCAGCCTTTCTGGCGGCATCCAGCCTGTCCCCACAGGGCACAGGGGGTGCAGGACACCAAGGCTTCACGGACTTCATCGACAGCAGCTCCACCAAGGATGCCGAGTTCAGACAGGTTACATCAAGTTTCCTCCACAGGACATCGTGTCTTCTTGGTCACCCCACTCAGTGCTCAAGCTCCAGGACTGAATTCCCTGAAAGCCGTGACCCCCTGTGTCTTTTCCACTCTAATGCTCCTAGCTGCTCACATGGAGCCCAGTGCAAAGCAGGCTCTCCACAAATATCACCAAATAGACGAAGGAACAAGTGGCTTCACAAGCAGCCGTGTCCATCCATGGAGAGGCCCTTCCCACAGCTGACAGAGAGGCTCTGGGTGGCACACCCGGCCACCCCAGAGAGGCCATCATGCTCCCTTGCCAGCACTGCACACACTTGCAGGCTCGAGGGCTCAGGATTCTTGCTCTTCTGCCCACGTGGCATCCACTGCGGATGCTGGTGCCACCTGACAGTCACCACTTCCAGGGCCCACTGGATGTAGCTTTCAGAAGTCCAGACTGGGCACAGGCTGCAAGGACAGCTTTCTCCCATCATGGTCTGCATCTCTTGGCAGAGACAGTGGTTTAACAGAGGCCGTGGGATTGGCTTCCTCATTGATGGATACTTCACCATCTTCGGTATTTGTTCCTTTCTCCCTTCAACAAATACTTATGGACTAGTTACCACCATGTGTCAGAATTTGTTCCAATGTCTAAGCCTTGGGGATACAGGATGACAGAAAACTCCTGCCTTCAAGGAGCTTGCATTTTTTTTTTTTAAGTAGGCTCCATGCACAGTGTGGAACCTTATGTGGGGCTTGAACTCATGACTCTGAGATCCATATCTAGGCTGAGACCAAGACTTGGATGCTTTATCCACTGACCCACCCAGGTGCCCCCCTGGATCTTACATTCTAATCAAGGGAAAGACAAACAAATAAACATGAAATATTACCTCAGTAATGACAGGGCAATGATGAAAAGTAAAGCATGGGAAGAAGAGAGTAACAGGGGGGCTCTGTCAGACAGTGTGGCCAGGACAGGACTCCCTGACAAGGGAGTGTCTAAGCAGAGACCTGAATATACAAAGCACCTGGCCAACTGGAGGTTGGAGGAAGAGCATGCAGTATGTGCAAAGGCCCTGAGGTAGAGCAAGGAAGGCAGAGTGAGTGACAGGGAGAATGCGGTAGGCAAAGTCTAAAGCTCTGACCCCACAGAGAGCAGAGCTTGGATTTGTGGTTTCAGTCACTCTGGCTGCTGGTGGGAAAAGCATCTGCTGGGTGTTAACAGGAAAAGCCAAGAGACCAGTAGGTAGCTGCTAACGTCCTGCAGGAGGAGAGGCTGTAGAGGAGGGCCCAGGAACTGGTGGGGGAGGTGGTGAGAAGTGGTAGCTCCCAGATGTGTCTGGGGAATAACAGGGCCTGCTGACCCCCAGCTTCTGCAACCCAGAGAATAAGCTGCCAATCACCAGAATGAGGAAGACATGAGAAAGGAGAGGAGGCATGAGGTGCTGTTTCAGATTTCCAGCGAGCACGATACCAAGTGCACACATCAACCAGACGGCTGCATACATGAATCTGGGTCATGAATTTGGGAGTCATCAGCCCACAGATGGCCTCTACGGAGATGGGGCTGGATGAGCTCAGCCCCCCGAGGGCCCCTCCCCTACAGCAGCCCTGGAGCTGCGCCCTCGCTTCCACCCCCCCATGCCCTCCAGGGGGACACATCCCCTGAGGTCTCTAAAGTCCACCTTGCTCTATCTAGGCCTCTGTTTTGGCCCATCTCCCTGGCTGCCCTCTTTGAGCCTGATCTCAGAGCAGACCCTGGAGATCAGGGGTGTGGGGTTGCTGAGCAGATCTGAACCCCAGTCTGTTAGCAGGTGCTACCTGGCGTGCTCTGCCAAGGCTCACAACTGGGACAGTGCAGCATGGACATCAGGTGCGGCCAGAAATCTGCCCAGGGAAGGGTGGTGAGCCAAGGGCTTCCTCAGAAAGCCAAGAGCTGTCAGATGAAGCTGCTCCAGGGCTGAAGCTCCAGAGTTGGGGCTCTGGGAATCCCACACATATGGGACCCCTGATTTTTCTTGATGCTTTGCTGGTCTTGTAGGAGTAGGAAAGCTAAGCACTGAAATCAGGTGTGGCCCCAAGTAATGGTATCCCCCAACACGGCTTCCATTTCAGACTCTGGCAATATTGTTTGTGGCACATGTATTTGTGTTCTGGGCCACCCTTCTCATGGTTCCCTCTAACATATTTCCACTAACAACATCAGACTTGAACATCCAGAGTAGTAACAGAACATTTCTGCCAATGCTCCTTGTCTCCTACAGACTGGCCTCCTGGCAACATTTCCAAGTAAGAAAGGGGTTTTCTGCAGAGAAGTCTTTATTTTTTAATTTTTTTTTAATTTTTTTTATTTATTTATTTATGATAGTCACAGAGAGAGAGAGAGAGAGAGGCAGAGACACAGGCAGAGGGAGAAGCAGGCTCCATGCACCGGGAGCCTGATGTGGGATTCGATCCAGGGTCTCCAGGATCACGCCCTGGGCCAAAGGCAGGCGCCAAACCGCTGCGCCACCCAGGGATCCCTGCAGAGAAGTCTTTTGTGCCCCTGAGACCACTGGAAAAAAAACACCCAGTCCTTACCTGGGAGGCTGGTTGCATTTGCAATATCTTTAGAAAGATTATTTTTATTGTCTTCATTAGTGGTCGGTGCCTAAAAGAGAGATTCCCCCGGTAAGTTGGTGTCTGCAGATTCCACCTTCAGCCCCAGCTCGGCACCCACTCTGAAGCAAGCTTTCTATCTCAGCGACCTCTCCATTTCTGGCTTCTTGCCTCAACATCTCGACCACTCTGTGTGTTATCTGTATCTACACCTTATCTACTCAAGGTGGGATTTCTTCCTATCTACCTCTCCAGCATGAGCTTGGGGCACAGCACCTTCTCCAGAAAAGCTTCCCAACAGACTGGCTACAACAGCACCATTCCCCAGGTCCCACACCAGGGTACAGGTGCCCCATCTCCTGGGAAAACCACAGACTAGAATCCTGGACCCAACACTTACTGGCTCTGTGACCTTGAACAGACTTTGTAACCCATGTAGGAGTGTTTTCCTCCCTCCCAGGCACAGCCATCCTGGCTTTGCACCTCAGTTAGCATAACGATTGAACAAGATTGCAGGTGCAAGGCTCAGGGCAGAGCACGGCTGGGCCAGCCCTCAGCCAGCAGCCATCCCCATACCTGGGCTTGGTCAGGAGTCCTCTGGCCACACAGCACAAGTGTCCCTCAGAGCCGCTTCTGCTGGGGGCTGCACAGCCCTGCAGCAGGTATGAGTAAGGTGCAAGGCCTAGGTTCCTTCCCTGGGCCGTCAAGCTCCAGGGGGAGCTGAGCCTCCCAGCTTAGCTAGTCCTTAGGGAATTGAGGACTACAGGAGGACATGCAGTTGGATGGGAAACTGGATTACACAAAGACCTGTTAAGCAGCTTCAGAGGTAATCCTCTTTCCAGAAAATTATGACACCAGGAGCCATAGAGGAAAGGTTCAGATAAACTGAATCTGAGCCACAGGCTAGGTCATCCATGGCACCCACCAGTCAGAGATGAGATGGCAGCCGTGAGCCAGGCCAGCACCACTCCACATGCCACAGTGGCCACAACGGGCCCGGGATGACGGCTCTTACCCTAGTTCACAGGGGCTTGAAGAGGGTGGGCAATGCCACAGCCACATTTCCAGTACGTGGCAGAGCTGGGATCTAGGGCCAGCCCCCTCCCCCAGATGCTGATACCTGACCCCTGACAAGGGCGGGAGCTCACCTGCGTGGAGTGGGGCAGCTCAGTCTCAGCTGCAGGGCTCCTGGATTCTGTGGGGGGAGAGTCTCTGTTAATGATTCATGAACCCTGATGGGCTTCAGAAGCAGAGAAAAGCTCATTGCCAAGTTATTTAAAAGAGCCTGAGGTTAGACAACCAGATAGCCAACCCTAAAGGATCAGTTTTATAAATGAGGTTATACCCCTATGTTGCAATAGTTTTTAAAAATAAATTTTAAAAGGGGTCCCTGGGTAGCCAAGTTGGTTGAGGGTCCCACTCTTGGGTTCCGCTCAGGTAGTGATCTCATGGTGGTGAGATGGAGCCCCATGTCGGACTCTGCTCAGCGTGGAGCCTGCTGGAGATTCTCTCTCCCTCTCCCTCTGCCTGTTCCCCTACTCACGTTCTCGCAAATAAAAAAATAAATAAAATATTTAAAATTAGATAAATTAGAAAAATATTGAGAATATAATGTATGAAAAACCCAAGACAAGGAAAGGCTTAATCTGACCCAAAGTCCCTAAAGAATAGTATTTATATCATTATTTATCCTGTATGATATTATACATCATAACATGTTCACACACAAGAGGAAAAAAACACAAGGACACATCACCAGATATAAGCACTATTAACATCTTAATATTCTTCTACTACTGTTTTTGCAATAAAAAATATTTAAACAAGTTCTCATCCCTCTGGGTGGGTTTGTTAGGCTTGGCCTGAGAAGGCATGTGGTTCGGGCACACATGCAGGCCCCTCCCCTCCTGGGAACAGTATTTCTGTATTTCTGCAGAAACCGCAAGCCCCTCCCCCGCACCCCCACCCCAGCAGCAGCAGGTCAAGCATCCAAGCAAGAGCAGGAAGGCGAGGCCGAGCTCTGAGGCCAACGCAGGCCCAGGGGACCAGGAGCTGAACTGTGACAGGCAATGGGTGGAATGCACTGGATTTTAAAATATTTTCTTTTCAAAAAAAAAAAAACAAAAACAAAAAAAAATAAAATATTTTCTTTTCAGTCTATCATTTTTCCATCAAGAAATTAAAAATACCACAGAAATGGTTTACACAAAGATGTGGAGCCTCCCTGAAGCAGGAGGACAATAAGGGGACAGAAGACCAAGTGACCCTGCCCCTCCCAGGAGAGAACCTCCAGCAGGACAGTGCCGTCCCCAGGACAGAGGTAAGCACACACAAGCAGCCCTGTAGCAGACCCCAGGGCCTGCGCACCTCCCTTGGTATAGAGGACACAGAGCCCCAACGTCCCGACCACACAGCATGTCAGCCCACAGTCAGTCCGGGGTAAACGGGAAGGCCCGTCTCCATTCGCTGCTACTCGCCCAACCCAGCGCAGGCTCAGTGGGGTGATGGAAGGAGCAGCAAGGAGGTATAGGCACGATGAAGGTCAGCCCTACACCGGGCTGCTGTCTACTCTCCACCCTCAGCTCCAATGCCCCACATGGCATGTCGTCCAGAGAAGGATGTTTCACTGCTGCGGCTTAGATTTCTGGGTGTAAAGCGGGGATTTTATCTCAAATAACCAAGAATGAATACAATTTTTCTAATGCATAATAACTCTTACATAACAAGACTCTTTCAAAACTCCCTGAATGACCACGAGGACACTTGATTCAGACCACTTGGTCCCCAGAGATGAACGTAAACAACTTTTGTATCGTTACAAATAATCATCATTCCCATTTCACAGACAAATAATGCGGGGCTCGGGGAAGTACTTGTTACCACAAGTAACACGTCACCCACACTGTGTGCAGTCTCGGCACACCTGCTCCAGGTCTCACCTGCCCGTGCTTCTGTCAACGGCCCACCCCTGGGGTGCCTTGGGAAGCGGGCACCTCTTTCAGTTTTACAAAGACACGAGGCTCAGAAAGGCGTGATCAAAGTCAGGGAACACATGTTTTTTTCTGTTCAAGCAAAAGTATTTTATAGTTCTAACTCCCACATTTATTGAGCACTTACTATGTGCCAATCTCCCCACTTCACGTAAATCAATTTGTTTGGTCTCCACAACAAAATTGTGAGGAAGTATCATTATTTTCCCCCACTTTACAGATGGGGAAACTGAGGCACCGGGAGGTTTAATAACTTGCCCAAAGTTTTGTAAGAAACAAGTGGCAAGGGCAGCCCTGGTGGCGCAGCGGTTTAGCGCCGCCTGCAGCTCAGGGTGTGATCCTGGGGACCCGGGATCGAGTCCCGCGTCAGGCTCTCTGCATGGAGCCTGCTTCTCCCTCTGCCTGTGTCTCTGCCTCTCTCTCTGTTTGTGTCTCTATGAATAAATAAAATCTTAAAAAAAAAAAACATTAAAAAAAAAAGAAACAAGTGGCAAAAAAAAGAAAAGAAAAGAAACAAGTGGCAAATCTTTCTGGCTCTAAAAATGAACTTTTTTTTTTTTTTAGGATTTATTTATTTATTTGAGAAAGAGATGGAGGGAAGGAGGGAGGGGTAGAAGGAGAACTCCAGCAGACTCTGCGCTGAGTGCAAAGCCCAACGACCTCACAACCCTGAGATAATGACCTGAGCTGAAATGAAGAGTTGAATGCTTATCTGACTGTGCCATCCAGGCACCCTTGGACTTTTTTTGTTTGTTTACTTATTTTAAAACCATCTCAAAAAAAAAAAAAAAAAAAAAAAAAAAAAAAAAAACATCTCCAGGGCAGCCCTGGTGGCTCAGCGGTTTAGCATTGCCTTCAGCCCAGGGTCTGATCCTGGAGACCCAGGATCGAGTCCCACGTCGGGCTCCCAGCATGGAGCCTGCTTCTCCCTCTGCCTCCCTCTCTCTCTCTGTATCTCTCATTAGTAAATATATTTTTTTTAATCTAAAAAAAAATCTCCAGATTGAACATTCCTTATCTTTAGGAAAAAAGTAGGAGCTGAGGTAGAAAATAGACGAGTTTCCTCTTCTTCCTAAAACATCTCCCTGGATTTGGAGAGCCTTTAAAGACCCCTGATGCTTGGTCCATCCCCAAGATGCTGAGGCCATAGGTCCCAAATGGCCTGAACAGATGACACCGAACACAGCTGAGTTTGGGAAATCCTGGATCCAATGGCTATCTATGGTCACTCCTGGTGGACGGCTGCCCCCAACCTTCATTAGTGCCACATACCCTCTTGCTTTTTTTTTTTTTTTTTTACTTTTTAAATCATCTTTCTGAAAAACTGTGTAGTCAGTAAAATTTCAGTTATGGAAAAGTACTTAGAAAAGACTAATAGAAACATTAACTGTAGTTGCTACTGTATATCTGCCTTCCATGAATGTCTCCAAGATTAGAGGACATACTTTCATATTCATAACAAAATGAGTGAATGATAAGAGACAACGGGGCCAGGACGCCTAGGTGGCTCAGCGGTTGAACATCTGCCTTTGGCTCAGGGCATGATCCTAGGATCCATTATCGAGTCCTGCATCAGGCTCCCTGCATGGAGCCTGCTTCGCCCTCTGCTTATGTCTCTGCCTCTCTCTCTCTGTGTTTCTCATGAATAAATAAATAAAATCTTAAAAAAAAAGAGAGAGAGAGACAATGGGGCCCCTGGGTGGCTCAGTCAGTGAAGCATCTGCCTTCAGCTCAGGTCATGAGTCCTGGGTCCTGGGATGGAGTCCTGTGTGGGGCTCCCTGCTCAGTGGGGAGTCTGCTTCTCCCTCTGCTCCTCCCTCTGCTCACACACTCTCATAAATAAATAAATAAATAAATAAATAAATAAATAAATAAATAAAATCTTTTTAAAAAAAGATTGAAAGAGCACATGTGAAGTATTTTTTCCCACATGAGGTTTTTTTTTTTTTTTTTAAGATTTTATTTATTTATTCATGAGAGACACAGAGAGAGAGGCAGAGACATAGGCAGAGGGAGAAGCAGGCTCCATTCAGGAAGCCTGATGTAGGACTTAATCCTGGGCCTCTGGGATCATGCCCTGAGCCCAAAGCAGACGCTCAACCACTGAGTCACCCATGCATCCCTCCCACATGAGTTTTTAAAACAAGAAACTCATTTCTATCAACTTGAAGATTGGTTTGAGTTCACTTCCTTGGGTCTTATAATGGAGAAATCGAATATAAAAGATGACAGAAGCCTTTGTGACAGATAAGCAATCTTGTTCACGACACTGAACCTCTCCTAGACATTGTTTCTTCATTTCCGAGCAGGGCGGATGGCTTCCTCTCAGACATACTGAAAGTAGCACCTGCCTGGCACACAATATTTGCTTAAACACTGATCTGACTCTCAAAATTAGGAACACAGAACATCACAAGCCCGGGGATGAGATGCCCAGCATGATGACCACAGTTAATAATACTGCATTGCATATTTGTGTGTTTTTAAATATTATATTCATTTATTCATGAGACACACACACACACACACACAGAGAGAGAGAGAGAGAGAGAGAGAGAGGCACGGACACAGGCAGAAGGAAAAGCAGGCTCCACGCCAGGAGCCCAATGTGAGACTCGATCCCGGGACTCCAGGATCACGTCCTGGGCCGAAGACAGGTGCCAAACCACTGAGCCACCCAGGGATCCCCCTGCATTGCATATTTGAAAATTGCTAAAAGAGTGGACCTTAAAAGTTTTCATCAGAAGAAAAAGAAATTTGTGGGACATCTGGGTGGCTCAGCAGTTGAGCATCTGCCTTTGGCTCAGGGCGTGATCCTGGTTCAGGGATTGAGTCCCACATCGGGCTCCCTGCATGGAGCCTGCTTCTCCCTCTGCCTGTGTCTCTGCCTCTCTCTCTGTGTTTTTCATGAATAAATAAATAAAATCTTTAAAAAAGAAATTTGTGACCATGTGAAGCAACAAATGCTGAGCAGACAATGTAATCAATCACCACTCAGCAACATAAACATCAAATCATTAAGTTGTATACCTGAAAGTAACATGATGTTATATGTTGATTATATCCCAATATAAGTAAAAAAAAAAAAATTGGGGGGGGGCGTTGGATAGAGAACAGAAAACATATTTTTATTTTATTTTATTTTTAATTATTATTATTATTTTTTTAGAAAACATATTTTTCTAACCAGGTGTGTTTAAATTGC